GGTGACAAAGTAACAGAAAGTCTACCTGATGGTACGTTTTATCCATCCTCTTAGGACTAAGATGCCGTGACTCGTTTACAGTAAAGAGATATACAATTTGGATCTAGTTTTCTATTTCAATCCTCCTTTAATCTCGCACGGAAGTTATTAAGTTTAATTTTATGGGTCACAGCTTCCACTTACCATCAGCTGGACTGTGCACTAGTTTGTCACCCTTATTTTATAAAAAAAGTAAAGCACTTTGCTATACTAATATTCAAAGTATAAATTAATGTGGATGTTTAAAAAATATTTGATTTTTATTCTATAAATTAGTATGAAAGTTCCATTTTCCACAGAAGAAGTACTTGGGCGTAACAATCGACCAAAAACTAACGTTAGTTTTTGGTCGATTGTTACGCCCAAATCAACCAAAAACTAACCTTAGCAACGTATGCCATAAGGCAAAAAATTCTTTAGGTGTACGTGCAGTCGTTTGGTCGGGAACAACTGGGGCTTCGTCCCAGTAAGGTCCTATGGCTGTACAGCAGCATAGTGAGGCCGATTCTCACCTACGCTTCTATTGTCTGGTGTAACAAGGCCAACCAAAAGACGACTGCGGACAGACTAAATAGTCTACAAAGGACTGCCTGCTTAATGGCAACTGGAGCTATGCGATCATCACTTCTATGCCTAATGCCCCTTGATCTCTATCTAGACAAGGAGGCGAGGGCTAGTTTGTATAGGATTAACGCCCAGGGCGGTCTGAGCTTGCTCTCCTACAGATTGAGATCCACGCTCGACTCAATTAAGGAATCACCGGTCTTATGCATGATCTCAGATATCACACTTTTGATAAAAAGTATATAGTAGAATTACCCTCCAGAGAAGACTGGCTGAATGGCCAGGTTATCTGTAAGGTCGGTAGCCTCATATGGTATACCGATGGGTCTAAAATGGGCCTCGACGTAAGCTTTGGAATTTACGGGGAACGCCCCAAATTCAAACTTAGTATGAATTTGGGTAAATACACCTCTATTTTCCAGGCAGAAATTTTCGCCATACTTCGGTGTGCGCAAATCAATCTACAAAAACACTATGTCAGCCATAAAATTTACATAAACTCTGATAGTCAAGCAGCACTGCTAGCGCTGAGATCAAAATTAGTGAACTCAAAGCTAGTTGGAGGGCTCAAAGTGCACACAATTTGGACCTGAGCAATTTTGTGGAATCTCAAGAAGCCTAGCCCGATTGACCCTTGAAACTCTTTATCACAATAAATCACTTAAGATCTGGTCTGACACACCAAGCTTAAAACATTCCAAAACCTTAATCCGGGCTTTTGATCGTAAATTCGCTTCAGAAGCCCTGGGATTAAGTAAAAATAAATTGCGCATTCTGGCAAGAGCCCTAACTGGACACTGTTGTCTTAAAAAACACATGTCAATCCTGGGACTAAGCAACTCAAGGATGTGTCGGTTCTGTTCCATAACGGAAGAAATGCCTCTACACATCCTAACTGATTGCGGACCCTTAATGCGCAAACGTAACACTCATCTGGGACACTATCTACTCCTCCCAGAAGAAGTGAAATTGCTCACAGCTAAGCAACTCCTTCGATTCATTGAAGACATAGGGCTTAGACGTGAAGTATAGCCATAGCAGCGATCACAATAGATCTTTTAGGTCGCAGTAACACTGGTCTCTTTACCTAGACCTGCATAGCTGCTCGCATATAATAAAAAAATAATAGTATGAAAGTTTTGAGTAACATGTATAGAGACGGGTCTGTACCTCGGGGTACTTTGTTAGTACTGAGCGATAGCGCCCGGAAACTACGAGTATGACGTTCGATTCACGCTCCTTAGCCGTACGTGCAGTGCCTGTGGTGCAAGAGGAAATAATATAGCGGTTATACAAAAAAGTGCTTCAAATTATGTTAAATCTATGTTTTGTGTTTTATAAAGTTGTTCCCACACTAGAGTATTTTTTTTTTTTAACTTTTAAATTTTTTTTTTAAAAAATACCTTTTTTTTTCGCTGTTTTAACTGCGGCAGAAACCAAAAGGCGAGTAATAGTTTTGAATGATAAACATGTAATCATATATAATTATAATATGTGTACAGATTCCATAGTTTCTTTGGTAGTCTCCGTATTTTGGGAAATGATATCATAATTGATTGTTGTGTTTACACAAATACTAACAAACTATTCCCCGGTTGCCTTCAGATTTTAAATACATTCCCATTGAAATCTGTTAAAATTAGCATTATTAAATCATAACCACCGTTACAAACCTTCGCAAGTCTGCATGATTATGTTATTTAATTTTTTTAAACGTGGTATAAAAAAAACAATTTTATATTTTTACTACTACACCTTGTGACAACCCTAGCACTTTTATTATTTACGTCAGCTTTTTCGAAAACATTGAAAGAGATGACTGACTGTACCTGTTAAAGTCTGCTGCTGATCATAAGCCTTCTTTTTTAAGGACAGCCAGAGGCAATTACAATAATACATATTCATAAAAATAATATATATGACTAAGTTTTTAATTAAAAAACCTATTTAATCGGTCGCAACATAATTCACATGAAGCGTAAATTTTTATTACATAAATTACAAAATATTAACCTAAAAAAAATTTAAACTAAGAAAAACCAAAAAAGACAATTAGATATTATTGAACTCTTAAATATTATCTCTTAAATCTGTAGCACAGTTTTTTTTTTTTTTTGAAGGAGGACAAGGAATTGATAAAAGTGTCCATAGAATCCGACATCAAATACAGCAAACGTAACATTTTAGCAAAACTTTTGTTATGACTTAAATTAGATTTGGCTTTCCAAATCTAATTTAAGTCATAACACTTCTTTAAGTGGCTAAGGTGCAGATTTAAGCGAATAACGTTTTGGAACTTAAAAATATATTTTTCGCAATAGCTAACGCTGTGCTAGTAGTTTGTAGTTCCGTGCAATATTTGATAAAATTTGGTTTGACAAGCTGTCAAAGCCAAAGAATTTTAACTTCTTAGGATATCCGGCAAGTTTCTTACCAAACATGTTACAACAGTAAGCGGGTTTGTATCCTATCTATACTAGTTGATGGAGTTTTCACTGTGGTGACCATATTACATTTCCATATTCTAATATGCCGCGGGCATAGGTATTAAATAATATTTTTTTAGTTGTGATGTTTTTAAAGACAACTGTTGGGGAAAAAAGGTCCTCGAGTGGCAGCCTCATACCGGTAGGCGAAGTGTAGGGCGAACCCCCACTAGATGGAGTGACGACCTGGTAAGACATGCAGGAAGTCGATGGATGCAGGTGGCTCAGGACCGTGCTTTGTGGCATTCCTTGGGGGACAGGGCCTATGTTCAGCAATGGACTTGTGAAGTGCTGTAATGATGATGATGATGTTCTTAAAGATGTTTCTTAATATATCTAAAGCCTAAAGTACTCTAAGTTTCCTCTATCATGCAGTCCATTTATGAAAATAAAGTTAAAATCCAAATAAAAATGCCTAAATCTTTCACAGGATTAACAATCTGTGACTCATCATTATTTATTTTATATGGAAATAATTTATGTGTGAAAGAGATTTGAGAACATTTATTGGGATACAACTGCAAATTATTAATGTGACACCAATTTACTAGAGTGCTCGTGTCGATATCATCTTGGAAAATTTGTAAACCGTCATAGAGGCGATATTGGCCATAGTTGCCACGCTTGCCAACCGCAATTTATTTTTTATTTGTAGTCGTTATTAGGACGACACTACTGCCCACTCTTGATTTGTTTTCCTCTATCGCTCCTGCGGCACCTACGGGATGATATTGGGTAGCGGACATTCTACACCGCCACTATACAGTACGAGGGTGGATTGAAAAGTACTCGGCCTAACCAAGAAAATAAACACATACTAAATCAGTAATATTTTTATTTTTCTACATAATCACCATCAAGTTCAATACACTTTTGCCACCTCCCCTTCCAAGCATTTAGACCGTTGAAAAAAAATGATTCTTCCTTAGAGACAAAATATGCGTCTACAGCGGCTTTGACCTCGTCGTTTGTCGAAAATCTTTGACCTCCCAAGTGCTTTTTTAGGTTAGGGAACAGAAAGAAGTCTGATGGTGCCAGATCAGGTGAATACGGCGGATGCGGTAACAGTTCAAAGCCACAGTTGTGAATTTCAGCCATTGACTGTACTGACGTGTGAACACGGGCGTTATCTTGATGAAACAGGACTTTTCTTCTGAGCATTCCTCGCCGTTTTTCTTTTATTTCCTCTCGTAAACGACGTAGTAAGGTGCAGTAGTAATCAGTGTTTATAGTCTGACCCCTTGCAAGATAATCAATCATAATCACACCTTTCGAGTCCCAGAATACTGAAGCCATCACCTTATTTGCCGACAAAATCAACTTAGCCTTTTTAGGGGGTGGTGAACCAGGTCTTCTCCACTGTTTTGATTGTTGTTTTGTTTCCGGTGTACAGTAATGAACCCATGTTTCGTCCATAGTAACAAAACGATTCAAAAAATCATCTACATCGGCTTCAAATAACTCCAAACAGTCGCGTGAAATAGTCAATCACGTCCTTTTTTTGTTCAACTGAAAGCAGTCGCGGAACCCACCTCGCAGACACCTTGTGGAAACCCAACTCGTTGACAATGATGTTTTGAGTTCGTTCGTTGTACTCGCGGGTATTTTGTGAAACACACGTATATTACTTTGCTCCGTCATCATTTAATATTTTCGATATAAATATCTAATATCTAATGTTTTAATTTATATCATTTAAAAACAGAGAAAAATTACATTAAAATAGTCTATTAGTGATAGTGAATTAATTTGTGATTCGTAAAAAGTAAGCATATACTTTTTTTACTTAAATATTGCATGCTTCTGCGTCGACAACAGTGCAGTGGTCGTTCGCTTCCCAATAAGCGCTTTTATCGCTTGAGCTTACTGAACGGTTTAGGATTTATTTTTAATTACTTTAAACGAACCGAGATGTCTTCTACTGGGAAATGTGCTGGTTGTCAGAATAAAATAACTAATCGACAGTTTATGTGTTGTTGTTCATGTAAACTAAAATATGATTTGGACTGTGCCACGATTAGTGAAAAAACTTTCATTTCGTTGGACAAAGAACGTAAAGCTGTGTGGATATGTCATTCATGTAAAAATCGTCAACCTAAGAGTGATAACCAGAACACTCCCATTCGCGGCAACACAATGTACTCAGAAGGCTGTATGGAGAAGGAGACAGAAGAATTGGCAAGTAATTTAAATGTTAAAGTGCGCGCCAAGTCTAACAGGCGGGAAGTCAGCCCTCTACCAACAACTATAGAGGAAATCGGCGACTTGCTTGATAATAAATTATCGGATACATCACCAATTTTTCGCAAATTACGATTGACTATTCTGGAGGATATCAAAACAATAATATCTCAGGAGATTAATTTAGCTGACGCAAGCTACTGACTTTTTAGCTGCTGAACAGGCGAATTTGAAAGTAAAGGTTGAACAAAAAGACAAAGAAATTAAAGATTTACAGACTCAGACTTTAAAACTTAAAAAAGAAGTTTATACCCTCCATGGTCGACTGTCTACCATTGAAAAAATCTCTAGAGACAATAACTTGGAAATTAACGGCATACAGGAAAAGGCCAGCGAGGATCTGTTTGGATTATTTCACAACCTTTGCAACACAATTAACTCGCCAATTGCGGACAGCGACATTCGTGCCTGTCGCCGTGTGGCTAAGATGGATCAATCTTCGAGCAGGCCCCGTTCCGTATTAGTGACACTGACATCGCCGCGTATTCGTGATCGTATCCTTGAAGCCGTTAATAAGTTTAATAAAACTCAAAGTGGCAAACTAAACTCGAAACACCTAAATATTGATGGTGCTACTAATAAAATGTCTCTGAACATATTTCACCTGATTGTAAAGCATTATTCAGAGAGGCTAGAAGAGTAGGCAAGGAGAAAAATTTTAAGTTTATTTGGGTCAAAAGAGGAAATGTGTACGCTCGCAAAGTTGAAGGTGCTACTCCCGTGCTCATCAAAAACATTGATTGCTTAGTTAACCTAGTTTAGTTATATCTTCCATTTATTTGTTTATTTTATTTTTGTGTTCACTTGGTTTAAGTTTACTTTGATAAAAGTTTATATTATTTTATGGGTAAAGGAAAACAAAGAAACTATTTTACATTAGGTATTTTGAATTTACGTTCGCTAAATACCGGTTTTGAGGAACTTAATCAAAGTATCTAAATTAAGGATCTTGATTTACTATGTCTTAGCGAGACTTGGCTTCATCATAGTTCCAATATTGACTTGTATTCAATTTCCGGCTACAGACTGCTGCACAACCCTCGTATTGGTCGTGGTGGTGGTGTTGGTGCTTATATAAAATCTAACTTACGTGCAAAGCGTTTAGATCACCCCCCTGGGGAACTTGAACAGATATGGTTTAATGTTAAAATAGGTAGTGAGACTGCTGTATTTGGTTCGGCGTATCGTCCTGAATCAGTGAGTGTTGGTTCAGCTATAGACTGTTTGCACGAGTCTCTCTCGTTTTTTATAGCGCAATATGATCAATTATTTCTTGTTGGTGACCTGAACATTGATTGTCTAAACAACGACGGCCTTCCATTTACGCCTAATTGTCTCAAGACCCTTACTGATACATTTAACCTCCATCAAATCGTAAACCAGCCTACACGGGTCACTTCTACTACGAGTACCCTGATTGATGTTATCTTTACTAGGACACATCTTAAGCCCATTTCTGTGGAAGTGACACATAATGATGATCTTAGCGATCATGGACTGATTTTAGCGAAATTTCCGCTCGCGATTCAAAAATCTAAATGTCATATAATTTCATACAGACCTATAGCTGAGAACACAATTGCTATAAACAATGCTGCTAAATACACGCCATGGGAGCTGGTACTAGTACAAGATGGTATCGATAATATGGTAAATACCTTTAATAATCTCGTCATTGACTTGATGGACTCATTCGCCCCTGTTCGTAAAAGCACTTTTAAACTACCCCCTGCCCCATGGATGACTGATACCCTTAGAAAAATGAAGTCAATTCGTGACAAGGCTTGCCACCGGGCCAAAACTATAAAATCGGAAAGTAGTATGCAATTTTACCGCGATCTGCGCAACTATTATAACCGAGCAGTTACTCTAGAAAAGCAGGCATATTTTACTAGGTTTGTCAATGATAATAGGTCAAATCCTTCTCAGATGTGGCGTCACATAAAACGAATAATTTCACCTGCCGTAAAAAATCGTTCCATACCGGACCATCTTCTTGACCCTGATTCACTTAATAATCACTTTACAAACACCATATCATGTGCACCTCCCGACAAAAGTGTTATTCAAGAAATCGAATCACTTAAGCACTCTGAAATCGAATTTCAATTTGTAGCTGTAAATGAAACGTTAGTGAAAAGTATAATTGCTTCTACAGCTACTAATGCGACCGGAACTGATGGCATCTCCATGTTGATGTTAAAACTTACGCTTCCATATTCTTTGTCAACGATAGTGGCGATAGTCAATAAATCTATATTGGAAGGAGTATTTCCAGAATCTTGGAAATGTGCCATTGTCACTCCCATTCCCAAAAAATCAATGGTGGATAATCTTTCTGATATAAGACCAATAAGCATTCTTCCTGCACTATCTAAAATAGTCGAAAGATGCGTTCTTTATCAAATTTCACCATATCTAGAACGTAATCAAGTACTGCCTGTGATTCAATCTGGTTTTAGAAAGAATCACAGTTCAGTATCAGCTCTTTTAAATATTACTGATGATATTCTTGCTGCGTCCAATGAGGGTAAGGGAACAATTATGGTTTTGCTAGACTTCAGCCGCGCTTTCGATTGTGTTGATATATCTATTCTATTGGCAAAATTAAAATACTATGGTTTCACAGAATCGGCCTGCACCTGGTTTCAATCTTATTTCCATAATCGCTGCCAAAAAGTGCAATGTTTGAATAGCCAAGGAGTTCTAAATGTCTCCAACACGCTCCCCCCTTAATAAAGGTGTTATCCAGAGTTCAATACTTGGTCCCACATTATTCGCAATTTACACGGCCAACGTTACTAAAGCTATAGTTCACTCGAAAATTCACTTATATGCAGATGACAGCCAAGTATACGTTCACACAACGCCAATTGATGAGGAGGTTGCTGTTGCTATTTCCAAATTAAACAAAGATCTTGATTCTATTGCGGAGTGGTCTTTGAAACATGGCCTGGTACTTAATCCCTTAAAGAGTGTCACCATTACCCTTGGAACAAAGCACCAGGTAAAAACGATTAATGAACGGAAATCTCTTGTTAAGATCTTTGACACCGTTATACCTTACGAGGGTTGTGTTCGCAATTTAGGTCTCCTTATGGATGAGAATTTAAAATTTGAGCAACATGTTCAGACTAAAATCGGTAAATGCTATGGTTCGTTAAAAACTTTGTATAAAATTCGCTCATTTCTAAAACGTGACATAAGATTGCTGCTCTGTAACAGTTTAGTACTATGCCACCTTCATTATTGTGATATTGTTTATGGTCCATGCTTATTTAAAAAAACTGTGAAGAATGTGCAGAGAGTGCAGAACGCATGTATGCGTTTTTGTTTTAACATACCGAAAAGGGATAGGATTTCACCTTATTTAGTCAGTAATGGCATTTTAAATATGTGCAATAGTACTAAATTAAAATATGCATGCTTTCTGCACACTCTGCATCACGCAAAGTCTCCAAGATATCTGTATGATAAAATAGCTGTTGAAAAAAAAAGTTTGCTTTCAGTCAGAGAAAATAGTCATCGGCTTCCACTACCCAGGATTAGCCTCGCTGGAGCCAGGGGGTGTTTTAAATTTGCCGCTGCTAAAATTTGGAACGATTTGCCACCACCAGTCCGATCTACCCTATTTCCGTCTACCTTCCGACAAAGATGCCGCAAGTGGCTTATTCAAAGACAGTCCCTGGCTCTATGTGGCTTTGATACCCCCCTCAAATTAGACAACTTTTTTTTTGTATTTGGAAGGTATAATTTATTAATTGTTTTATTTTTATTTTCACTTTTTTATTGTTGATACGTGTGTTTCATCAATTGCCTAAGACCCTGTATGAATTATGCGCAAAGGCTGTGGCAGAATAGCAGGAGTAATGGGTTTTCCGTTACAACTGAGTCACAGACCGTTTTGTCACAACTAAAAAGTTATTATTATCTCTCTATTTAAATTTTAACATTGTATTTTTGTGTGGCAAATAAATACTTTTTATTTATTTATTTATTTATAAGAGATGCCTATAATCTCGGCTATCTCTCTAATTTTTAATCTGCGGTCTCCCATTATTAAATCAAGTACTTTTTTAATATTTTCGTCAGTAGTTGACGTCGAAGGCCTTCCAGAGCGGGGTTCATCTTTCACACTCTCTCTGCCACGCTTAAATTCTGCTATCCATTTTTTGACGGATGAATATGACAGAGCACAATCGCCTAATGTACTGACCATGTCATCATGGGTGGCTTTTGATGATAGCCCCTTCTTATGGAGGTACTTAACGACGGCACGCTGCTCGATTTGCTCCATTCGCGGAAATTATGTCCGATTACTTTGTTAATAAATTTATAAAATCACAACTAATTATCGCACACGTTTCGAACTTCACACAATGAACTAGTCTGAACTGAACTAAATAATATGGGTAGATTTGATTTTTAGAATTGAATGGATCTGTGTTAGGCCGAGTACTTTTCAATCCACCCTCGTACCATATAAACAATGTAATCAAGATTACAAGAATACCTATTTAAGCTTTATCAATCGTTCAGAAAAAAATATTTGTCCTGGAAGGAACCGACAAGAAACCTAGTGGTACTTTTTGAAATTTTACACAAATATATATGAAAACATTTAGAAGCAACATGGTAGCGATTATCTCATTCCCAGGAATTACTATCAATCATGTACTCTTCAGTAGTATAATAATACTTATCAAACGATTATTGCTTAAAAATATTTTTTTTTTTGATAAAAAAGTCCTGCTTATTTTCTGAGACTTTGTTGTAAAAGCATTGTTAAAAAAAACCTATGAAGAAGTTAATAGCTCTTTGGAGTCGAGTAACTGGTCTAACCAGCTTGTTCTAGTTCCCAGTATTTACTTATTTACTTAAAGACTACTTAAACTGAAACCAAAGGTAGTGTGTTTTGTTTTTGTTTTTTAATTATGATACTATTTCAAACTAATAATGTTATAAATTGTTAATACGGCTCCCTTCTCCAAAAAAAAAATAGTTTTAATGTTTGCATAAGATATGCTGTGAACATAACTAGTATAAACAACTAATCTAGCTGTTTCAGCACATATAAGGCAATCTGATCTTTTTTATATTTTTATAGCATTACCGCAAAACAAAGTTTATTTACTTTTTATTGT